TTTTCTGTGTTGGGTATGTATAGTCAGTTCTCTAACATGAAGGCTAATCAATTTTCAAAGAAAGGTATGGACTTAGAGTGGCCTCAGACAAAACTAGGAAGTATTCATTTATTTATACTTGGTGTTTCCTACTTTTGGAGAGTTAGGCTCTTCAGCTCAGGTAGTCTGCAACTCCACTTAACCTTTTCAATCCCTACTTTCCTTTAGTTCAGGCAAACAAATGTGAAGTAGATTGCCCTGATTGTTGTACAGCTTGATTTCACTTTAGTATTAACTTGGTATTTCCCCAAATCATCACATAGAAATCTGCCTCATACTTTTCAACAGCTATAAAGGATGTACTTATACTGTCATTTATTTAATCAGAACCACACAGATGAACACTTTGCATTACCATTTAAAAATTTTTTTTTAAATGTATTGATTTTAGGGAAACGTTGATTTTTTGTTGCACTTATTTCTGCATTCATTGATTGATTCTTGTATGTGCCCTGACTGGGCATTGAACCTACAACCTTGGTGTATAGGGACAATGCTCTAACTCATGAGCTACCTGGCCATGGCTGCATTACCTTTTTTTTTTTTTTGCTTCTATAAAAAATGTTGCTGTTAGCATCTTTAGTCAAAAAAATTGCATTCTTCTTTGGATATGGATATCCAAATTACCTTGATAAATTAATTTTTACCAGTTTTCTGATAAAGAGATATTTTCTTTTGATTTGCACTACTTCCATTTTGTATTTGCTTATTGGTTCTCTAGTTTCCTGTGAGCATGATCTTTGCTTATTTTCTGTTAGGTTGCCATTTTCATATTCATTTTCAGAGTTCTCTGTAATTAAGGAGATTAATCTGGTATATGTTACAAGGGTTTTCCCTATTCTCTGTCTTTTTAGTTTATGGTATATGTTTGGTTTATAGAAACTTTTATTATTTTTGGCTGTCAAAATTACTGATCCTCTCCTTTATTCTTTCTCAGATTTATGCTTTTCTACATGTATCCTATAGTTATAGATTTGTGACCTTTTTATGTTAATTTTTTTTTATATGTTAAAAATTTTCATACCTGAGTACGTATTCATTATAAGAAATGTTTAAAACTTGACGAAATTAAAGTCTGTTCCTAATATTATATTCTCTTCCCCAAGCCAACCACTTACTAAGTTTGATGCATATTCCTCCAGCCCTTTATGTGTATATCATACTTCAATTTAAAAAAAATAAGCAACAATTATCCTGCCATTTACTAACTAGTCTGTGGTTTAAAATGGTGTCTTTATCATGTTCTAAATTCCAGTTAGGTCACGGGTCAGTTTGTGGACATTATTCTAATCCATTGCTATAGTGGACTATTTCTATGTGTGACTTCATTTTTAAAAATCAAATTACTCATGTGTCTAGAATTTGTTTTGGCGTACCAATGAGTGTAGGGAGCCAGCTGTTCCCAACACCATTTATGGACTTACGTCTTCCCTCCAGTGATTTTATATGTTATAATCAAACCAATATATTTCTATAGCAACACCATTATCACTTACCTATTGAAAGAGCACTTGACTAGGCTCTCTATATAGCGACTGTAGCATCTCTTCCTATAGTGCAGCCAAGCTGATTTATTTATTTATTTATTTATTTATTTATTTATTTATTTATTTATTTATTTATTTATTTATTTATTTATCCATCCTTACCCGAGGGTATTTTTTCCATTGCTTTTCAGAGAGAGTGGAAGGAGCAGGGTGGAGAGAGAGGGAGAGAGGTAGAGAAACATTAGTGTGAGAGAGACACATTGATTGGTTGCCTCCCGCACTCTCCCCAACCGGGGCCGAGGATTGAGCTTGCAACCGAGGTACGTGCCCTTGGCTGGAATCGAACCCGAGACCCTTCAGTCCTCAGGCCAGCTAGGGCCCAAGGTGATCTTTTTAAAACACATCCAGCATAACACCCTTTTTGGGCTTCACATTGTTCTTTGGGTGAAGACTTAATCTTGAACATGGCCTTGAAGACCCTGTGTGGCTGGCCCCTTCACCCCTCTGGTCTCATTTCAGACCACTCTTCTTGCTGACTGGATTCCAGCACATCGTGGCTTTCTTTCAGTTCCTCCATCATGCCATACTCTTCCTCACTAGAGGGTTTCTGTACTGCTTTTTCCTTTATGTCTAGAATGCCCTCCAGCCCCCAGCCCCACACCTCCTGCTCTACCTTGCCCTGTTGTCTTCCATTCCTTCTTCCCATTTTCAACTCTTAAGTTGACTTTTTGAGTAAATTCTTCCTTGACTCCCTAGATAAGTTTAGAACCTGTATATGCTTCCTAGGCATTATTTATCTTTTTTTTGTTTTTTTAAATAACAGCTTTATTGAGATACAGTCATACAATGCACTATTTAAAGTGTACAGTACAGTGATTTTTTAGTGTATTCATAGAGTTGTGTGACCATCACTATAATCAGTTTTAGAACATTTTCTTTACCCCAAAAGAAAACCTGTATCAGTTAGCAGTCACTCCCCATTTCTCCCCAAGGCCCCTAGTTCTAGACAACCATAGTGATTTTGTTTTTTTATTGTGGTAGAATATATATAACACCTTTTGCCTTTTTTTAAAAAATATATCTTTATTGATTTCAGAGAGAGGAAGGGAGAGGGAGAGAGAGATAGAAACGTCAATGATGAGAGAGTCATTGATCAAGCCCGCAACCGGGCATGTGCCCTGACCGGGAATCGAACCCCGATCGCCTGGATCCTAGGTCGACGCTCAACTGCTGAGCCAGGCCCGGCCGGGCAACTTTTGCCATTTTAAATCATAATTTAAAATATACAATTCAGGGGCATTAATTACTTTACAGTGTTCTGCAACTATCACCACTGTCTGTTTCTTTTCCTTTTTTTTTTTTTTTTAAATATATCTTTATTGATTTCAGAGAGAGGAAAGGAGAGGGAGAGAGAGAAATAGAAACATCAATGATGAGTCATTGATCAGCTAGCCCGAAACCCGGGCATGTGCCCTGACCAGGAATCGAACCCTGATCGCCTATATCCTAGGTCGACGCTCAATCGCTGAGCCACGCCCGGCCGGGCACCACTGTCTGTTTCTAAAACTTTTTTTATCACCCCAAACAGAAACTCTATATTTACTAAGCAATAACTCCCCATTCCTTCTCCCGCAGCCCCTGGCAACCACCTTTCTACTTTCTGTCTATATGAATTTGCCTATTGTAGATATTTCATATAAGTGGAATTACACAATATTTGTCCTTTTGTGTCTGACTTATTTTACTTAGCATAATGTTTTCAAGGTTCATCCGTGTATCAGAACTTCATTTCTTTTTATGGCTGAGTAATACGCCATTGTATGTATATGCTACATTTTGTTTAGTCACCCATCAGTTGTTGGATATGTGGGTTTCTGCCTTTTGGCTATTATGAACATTTAGCAAACAAATATCTGTTTGAGTCCCTATTTTCAAGCTTTTAGGGTAGAATTGCTGGGTTATTGATAATTGTATGCTTAACTTTTTGAGTAACCATCAAACTTTTCCAGAGAGGTTACACCATTTTATATTCCCTCCAACAATGTAGAAGGGTTCTAATTTCTCCACATCACTTATTTCCATTTTTTAAATTATAGTCATCCTAATAGGTATAAAGCGGAATCTTGTGGTTTTGATTTATATTTCTCTAATGATTAATAATAACTGAGTATTTTTTTATGTCTGCTTACTGGCCGTTTGTGTATCTTTGGAGAAATGTCTATTCAAGTCCTTTAACCATTTTAAAATTGGGTTGTTTTGTTATTGAATTAGAGGGGTTCTTTATATATTTTGGGTATTAAACTCTTATCAGATATATGATTTGCAAATATTTTCTCTCATTATGTGGGTTGTCTTTGCAGTCTTTTGTCCCATTTACATTTTATAGCACTTACAAGTTTGTATTTATAATTTTAAAAATATTTGGATTAGTATCTGTCTTCACTATTAGAATATGAACACCATTAGGGTGAGGACTATATTAGTGCTTGCTCACTTATATTTCTGATGCCTAGCACAGGTGCTAAATATTTTTTCAATGAATGAATCACCCGAATTCCTCTAAGTTAATTTATGAATTGTTCCATTGATCTATTCCATCTTATTTATCAACAGTACTACATCTTGGCTTCCCACTTGTTACTCTTATATTTTAAAATCTTCAGCTATTTTCTGGCTATTGTCATGTTAGTTCATGCCCTCCCCCTCCAAAAAAAAAAAACCAAGCCACACCTTGGGGTCATTTTAGAAGCCTCATTTTTTCTTTCTTTCAGAGGGCTTTCATGGTAGAATAAAGGCTACAAAGTTGTCTTAGTCAGCGTGGGCTGCTATAGCAAAATACCATGGACTGGGTGGTTTAATCAACATTTATTTCTCATAGTTCTGGAGTGTGGGTGGTCCATGATCAGAGTACCAATAGATTTATTGTCTGGTGAAGGACCCTCTCCCTGGTTTGTAGTCAGATGCCTTCTTGCTGTATCTTCACTTGGTGGAGAGGAGAGATCATTTTTCTCATGTCTCTACTTTAGAGCACTAATCCCATTCATGAAGGCTCCAGTCTCATAACCTAGTTACCTCTAAAGGCCTTACCTCCAAATACCATCACATTGGGGATTAAGGCTTCAAAATGTGAATTTTAGGGGGGATGTTCAGTTCATAGCAGTACTGGAGGTAACAAAATTAAAGAAGTAATAAACAGAGTGGGTCTCTAGCATCATCAGCCTCACAGGTAGGGGCAGTACAGAGCATCTGAAGACATTCACATTTATAGGAAATCCATCTGATGGCAGAAGGGGTAGCCAATCATTTGTATAGATTCATAATTCATGTAAGATTAGTACTAAATTCATAAATATAGGTTAATAAATATGAACTAAAAAGAACTATTATGAATTGCATAATATTTGAAATTTTCATAGCTCAAGAGAAAGAGTAACTCAGAATGGTAGTCTTAAAATATTTTTTCTTTCCTCCTAGATTGAAACAGTCAAGTTAAATCAAGCTGGGTAATCATGGCAGAGGGTGGATTTGATCCCTGTGAATGTGTTTGCTCTCATGAGCATGCGATGAGAAGGCTGATCAATCTGGTGAGTCCTGTTCAGAACTGAGCTGTAATGCTTTGGTACCGTTTTTGTGAAAATGTTGGTTATGGGAAGATTTTCATGTGATGGTCACTAAAATTATTTCATAATTGAAATTGCACAGTGGTTTAAGTTACAATGGTTAAAGTGCTCACCAGCAATTGTTTTATTAGAGATAAAAACAAATTTCTGTTTTTATTTATGTTAGATTTATGTTGGTGAAATTCCCTATCATGGCTGAGTAACATATTCTGCATATAATTATTAGCTACATGGAGCTTGTTTACCTAATAAATTGCTGTGAAATCAGGTTCTGTTATGATATGGTTCAAATCCTACTCCTTCAAAATGGCATGACAATAAAAATCTCTATATAAAGCATTTCAAAATCCAAGTTAATTATTTAACAGAGGAAGATTTCTGAGCAACACTTTGGATAGTAGTGAGATTTGAATTGTGGTGTTTTTAAGACTTTCCTAGTCTGTAAGCTTAAATATGAGGCTGTTTATGCATTATACTTTATATTTTTTATGTACAAAAGGAGAAATTTGACCATTATTAACAATAAAATATATTATTATGTTATACAGTATAACATTTTGTTGTTTTAGAATACTGTTATACAGGGGTATATTATCATTGGCCAGTTAAAGGCAGGTACAAACCTTTATTCAAATATTTGAATTGTTGGTAGTTAATAAGAAGGTTTTCTGCTGACTCAATGTCTATATATATATAGTGATCAGAAGTGTGCTTCTTGTAAATATTTCTTTTAGAATCAGCATATACTAGGACTTATATCTTTAAGAATGCCTTAGAGGGAAAGCAATAAACTAAGAACTTATAAATTCAATCAGACTCTTGTGTGTATAGAAATATAATGGGAATGTCATATCTCTGATAACTTGATGTAAAAATAAATGAGTCTGATGAAAGAATATTTTAAAAAATATTTTATCCTATTCATGAAGTTAAAAGGTGATAATTTTTATGTCTAAATTCAAACATAAGGCAAAATTTTTTCAAATTACTATGATATTAGGAATGAAATATAGACTTTAATTTCACTGTGGTAAATTTTCCCAGATCAGTTTTTCCATGAGGGTTACTAACTCTTTTTATAGGTATGGTATTTTTTATTTTTAACATAGTAACATGCTTTTTTCTATTAGCTCTGCCGCTTTAAAATTTTTTAATTTTAATTTTTTTATCCTCACCCGAGGAGATATTTATTTATTTGTTTGTTTATTTATTTATTTATTTATTTGAGAGAGAGAAAAGAAGGAAGAGAGAGGGAGAGAAAAACATCGATGTGAAAGATAAACATTGACTGGTTGCTTCCCATATACTCCCTGACTGGGGATTGAACCCGCAACCGAGGTATGTGCCCTGACTGGGAATTGAACCTGCCACCTTTTTTGGTGTATGGAACAAAGCTCAAACCAACAGTACCATCTGGTCAGGGACTGCCACTTTTTTAGAGATGGTTAAAACTAAGCCCTACTTTTTTTTTTTTTTTTCAAATCCACACCCTAGGATAGTTTTTCCATTGCTTTTTCAGAGGGAGTAAAGGGGGGGGAGGAGAGAGAAACATCGATGTGAGAGACACACATCAGTTGGTTGCCTCTCACTTGCGCCCTGACTGAGGCCGGGGATTAAGTCTGCAACCGAGGTACGTGTCCTTGGCCGGAATTGAACGTGGGCCCCTTCAGTCTGTAGGCCGATGCTCGAACCATTGAGCCAAATCGGCTAGGGTAAGCCCTACTTTTTATGCTTCTCTGTACCTTTCTATTCTCTTTATTTTAGTAGATTGTCAAGAAAGCCATGTTTAGCTTTTTTTATTAATAGGCATATTAATTCATGCTTGATGGGACATTGTTTATAGCAATCCTGGTTTGAAGTACTTTGTAATTATGTGAGAATAGATTACAAATCCTTTAAAAGTCCACAAGTTTTTAGTCTATGCTAGATATTTTCACAATAAATTACTGATGAGTGATCCACTTGTGTATAACACACAGATAGCAGTATTGAAAATTCCAGAAGGTAGGAAAACTTCATTTGATTCATTAAGGAAACGCTTATTAGGTTTGATAGACATTTGTTTGAATTGAATTGTGCTTTATAATTTTTATATCATGTGTATTTTTTCTTTATTTAAATTCATAATCAAGCAGCATTATTGGGCCATATCTACTCTGTTGATATTTAAGTTATTTCTAAACATTTGTTCCAAAAAAGTGTCTTTTGAAATACTGTCTCTAAGTTCAGGAATTTAACGTTTTATGTATAATACTGTTTACTATAGCATTACTTACAGTAGTAAAAAGTTATGAACAACCTAAATGCCTACCAGTAGGGTAGTGGTTATATCATGGCACATTCATATGATGGACTCTTATCCAAATGTTTAAAATGATTATGTCCTTGAAGAATATTTTAATAATATGAGGGAAATGCATATACAATATGCCTTTAATAATATGAGGGATATTTAGTAATATAAGAATATTTAATAATATGAAGGAAATGAAAAACAAGATATAAAATGGCATTTAGTATGGGCTTGCTTTTCTGTACACACACACACACACACACACACGTGTGTGCGCATAGAAAAAAAAGACTAGAAGAAAATAAACCAAAATGTTAATTGTGGTTTTCTCTGGATTGGTTTCTTGTATTTTATGTGGTAATATATCTTAAAGGTTATGGTATGATGCCAGAGCAGAAATTTATTCTCATTTTTCTAAAAATGGACTTAATTTATCCTCGTAATAGAGTAATATCTCATTAATTTCATGTATTAATTTGGGATTTTTGTTACTTTTGTCCTTTTGTAATTGGGTTTCCTTATAAGTTAGACTGTTATTAATTCCTAAGGACTTAAAATGCTAATAGCAAGTAGAAACTTGGGGCAACTTGAGGAATTTAATGATTATTTATAGTTAGTTCATTAGTTATATGCTGGGCTGCGGTTTAGTTTGCCTGTTCTGTGGAAATATATGGGCTTTGCCAAGGGATATATTCAGCTTGGAGCAGTTAAGACTTTACCCTTAATTCTTTTCTGTTTTAATGAAGTCATTCACAGCTTACAACTAGCTTGCTCCTGACTTAATGATGATATTAGTGAAGGTTCGTCATTATCAGTAGAAGCTCTGGCTGATTTAAGCAGAAAAGGACATATTGAAAGGATACTACGTGGCTCACATTGGGGAACCTAGGATGGGAAACGAATAGGATCAAAGGAGAGAGCAAGTGTCAAAATGGGAGCCAAAGTCACACAGCAGAAGTAATCCGGTCATGATGCTGATGCTCCTAAATTCCAGACTTTTGTGTACCCGCTGTTGACACAACATCTCCATCTGGATAACAAATACACGTCCTACACTTGAGTTGCGCATAGCTGAACTTCCTTTCTTGCCCCCAGGCTTACACTTTCCTGTCTTCTCTGTTCACTCTGTTATTCCAGCTGCTCGGGCAACAACGTTCAGGTCATATTTTACTGTTCTTTCAGCCCTGTAGCCAATGCAGGAACATCCTTTTAGCTCAAAACATATCCAGCCATTTCTCACACCTCCAGTGCAACATCGTGGTCTGATTTATAATCATCTCTTGCCTGGATTATTGAAATTAGCCTCCTTATAGTTCTCCTCTTGCCACGCCCCACTCACCTCAAGTTCAGTCTCACTACAGCAGCTGAAGTGATCTATTTTTTTTTTTTAACTCTCACCTGAGGATATTTTTTCCATTGCTTTTTCAGAGAGAGTGGAAGGGAGAGAGAAACATCAATGTGAGAAAGACCCATCGATTGGTTGCCTCCTGCATGTGCCCCGACTAGGGCAGGGATGGAGCCTGCAACTGAGGTACTTGCCCTTGGCTGGAATCGAACCTGGGACCCTTCAGTCTGCGGCCCGACACTCTAACCACTGAGCCAAACTGGCTAGGGCTGAAGTGATCTATTTCTGATAAAGGATAAAGGAGTGGGGAAAAGCTGTCCCAAAAGAATGTGATACTCTAAATCTCAGACAAATATAATTCAAAGCCAAAACAATGAAATGGAACACAGGAATTATATTGACCAACAAAAGAAAAAAAAGAAAATATCCATTAAAAATATATAAACCTTTATGTCCTAAACAACAGAGAATGCAAAAATTACTAGAAATACAAGAAGTATTTAGAAGTACCTGAGAAATGCTAGTGAAAGCCATAGAGATGCCTTTGCAGGTTAGAGAGAGCGGTGTAGAGGTCAGTATATGTTTGTAAATGCATAGAAGAGGTTTCAAGGGATGTACCTCAGACTCCTAAAAGTAAGTTACATTGGGGAGAGTTTGAAGAGAGTTGGGGCACTACTTTAAGTCCATAGAAAGCATCCACACCACTGTACTTGACTAGTCTAAAAAAGAAAAGAAAAAAGCATCCAAATGAGGAAACTGAGATAAGAGAGGGTAAGTCACTTTCCCCAGGTGTTGGAGGTGACTAGAGGGTGGCAGAGATGTTCAATCTGACAGTTTAGCTCCAGTCCCTGCCCTGTTTCTTTAGTACCATGTTCTGCTCCACTGCGTGTTGCTCTCCTTCAGGCACCTTAAAAGCACTATATTTGAAATCAAGGAGATAAAAAGGGGACATCTGTAATATGTTCAACAGCAAAGATAAATTTAAAAATAAATAAGTCCTGGGGATGTAAAAAAATAAAATAAAAAATCAAGAGGGTAGCAGTGGAGGGATAGGAGAGAGCAGGAGGAGAGAGACTCTTCAATGTATTTTTATGTTTTAAAACTGTGAATGCATTATCTATTCAAATAATTAATTTAAAAATAAAACTTTATAAATATCTTCGAAGGTATTAAAATCAGTACAGTTATATACATAAATTTGTATATTTGTAAATTTTTCCACTGAAGAATAAAATTTTCAAATGTACTGTTATGTGATTTGAAAATAGTATATTCTGTGATGTTTAGCTTTTCAATAATTCTAATAAGACTTTCTTCTTTTCTTTC